GAGCCACAAAATTGACCCCAATCGTTTGGATTGCTTGCCGGGCTGCTTTATATTCCCCGCCTTGCGACCAGGTTTGCTTCCCGCATTTGGGGTCCAGTTTCAGAGTCGCTCTGCGGGCCCTAAACCCGGACCGCAGCACAGTATTTTGGGGTCCTTATAATAAGAATCCTATTATTTAGGGTGCTATAGTAGGGTCCCTTATTTTTGGAAACCCCCACATCTGAAGCCAGTAAATGAGTTCGTAAGTGTTTGGGTTTGCCTCCCATGAAAGTGAGAGGCATACAAATGCATGCGAATATGTGGATTTTGGAATGATCTTTGCCCCGTATGTAGAGACTTTAAACTTGTTAATAACCCTGGAAATCCTGGCAGATGCGAGCCTAAAACCCCAAGAGCCTAAGAAGCCCCAACTCTGGCCGCATCTTCCGAGCCGCCTTTGCACCACTCTCGCAGGCGACTGTTCGGTTGACATAGCCGGTACCACAAGAACTTGAGCAAGCTGACCTTTGGGATCAGGCTTCGGGGTTTCCGGATTTAGGGTTTTAGGAGCTGGCTGAGGGGTTTTGGGGTTTGGGGTGTCTGCCAGCGCTGAAAACACGGTGTGGCGGGGTGTGGCTAAGTGCACCCGACACAACGGACTAGTGACTGGTAGAAAGTGGGTGCCAGCTCGTCCAAAGCTTGCTTGGCATGACTTTGGGCACACTGAGCGCGCAGCCACGATGAGACGGACCATTGACAGCCGGATATCTGTCACAAGGGCAAGCAGGGTAGCCGTCAGAACCAGCATGAACCCGCATCTCACCGATCGGAACAGCCTCGCTTATTTGTGGAGAGTGCAGGAAGTGAAAGCCTCATCCCCTCAAGCGTGGCAGGCTCACATTGTAGCACGACTCCAGGATCGCCGGCTGCAGGGAGTCGCAATCCGCAAGGATACCTACAGGCGAATCTGATACACTGCCGGGCAGCGCAACGGAACAGCACACAGCCTGCGGCTCGGATCTTCAGACATCTCTCCTCACACTGCCCGCCTGAAGAACAGGATACATTCCGGGTACGGAAACCCTGGCCACACATGGAAGAGCAGGAACTCCACCTTAGGAGCTCGGAGTCTGTGCACTGCGCCCTCACTTGAAAGGCCAGAGCTCCAAAGCTGTGCGCGCCTGCATGCGCAAGGTGCTTCTGTCTGTGTTTTCTCATCATTCACGTAGATTGATACATAGATGTTTACTTGCTTCATGACAAACTGACCTGCTGGATGAAGTATGCGCATCTTGTTTATTGATATTCCATCAGAGGTTATCTAATTGTTGAGGTCTTTACGCTGTTCTTTTGATCTGAGATTCAGGCTCTCCCTCCACCCAGCTGCACGCCGCAGTCTCGTGGCAGACCTCCGTCGCATCGGGTCGTGCTCGACCACAGTCTTCCTGCATGGGGGGGCTTTATAGGGTTTAGGGTTTAGGGTTTAGGGTTTAGGGTTTAGGGTTTAGGGTTTAGAACCCCAAGCTTGTGCAAAAAGCGATTGCGATTGCCATTAATATGCCTTTACTTGACCGTGAACCATTTTTTTCCTAGTGCAACGCAACTGTCAGTTTCCCCATACCGTGAACCATAGGGCCTATGTATGAGCATGCTGCTACTGCGGATATTCTGAATGGGGTCTACGGAGGATGGGCTTAGGGCTGAGCTCGGGCGTTTATCTATCTATCTATCTATCTATCTATCTATACATACATACATACATACGTACATACATACATACATATATACATATATATATATATATATGATTTTGCTTTTTTGGCCAGGGCTTCGAGTCCCAGGGTCAACGCTCGCCGATTGGAACTGTGAGCTCCAGACAGATAGACAGACGGACGGGCGGGCGACGGCCAGACACAAAGACAGACCGATAGGCAGATAGGCTTACATAGATATACATGGGTGGTTGTCAAAATTAGGTTTTTGGGTCCATATTATAATACGGCACCTATTATTTAGGGTACCCCAAAAGGGACCATAATTTTGACAACCACCCACATCAACATGCCCCTGTAAATATGACGCGTGCGGCGCTGCACTCTGCATCAGGCCTCGGACGAGCCGGAGCACGTCCTGGGCAAAGCGAATGATGAGTCTTTCAGGCATTTCGGGATTACCAGTAAGGGCTCAGTTCAATCTCGATAACGGAGGGGTCTACGCCATTCAGGCTTATGATTTTGACAGTCGCTCCTCGCTCACCAAAGTGCTGACAAATTCAAGCTTGCAGGCTAACTCAAACCCACATACCACGACGACCAAGGCCGCAACACTGTTCTCTCTCGCGTGCCGTAGCCGCACCTCGGCCCGTTCAAGAGACCAGCTGCCCTTCGGTGGCTTCGGAGCTCATGGGAGAAAGAACTTCACCGAAGGAGGCCCACAGGCCCAGACTGGCTGCTGCATGTGGTCCAGTTCGATGCCAGCCACATACAGCCGGATGTGGCCTCGGCTGCTCGTCTTTCCAAGCAAGTTTATTCACTCCTGACAGGGGTCCCGACGTAGCAATTCCGGTGTGTCGATGGCAATGCACCACAGTCAGATTCCTCAGTAGCTTTACGACTCATCGCCGGCTCCCGGAGACGATGCGGGTCAGGTGCACTAGCATTTTGTGTGGGGCAGATGTGAAAAGGAAACGGAGAGCGCGGAGATGCCACGGTTCTGATCAGATCAGCTCCACTGCCCGAGGCTTCGGCACTGCCCGTGGGACAGGTCCACTGAAGCTCTTCGACCCCAGCCCCACACCTGCCACAAGCGAGCTGAGAGAAGCTTCGATTCTATGTGATGCATGCGCAACGAAGCCTCCAAGCGACATGTCATGGCGAAATCTTGTTGCTGGCTGCGCTGCTTAACTACAAGACAACCATTCAGAAAGGCCTGTCGCCAAGAAAGAAAGGAGGGATGACGACAGGACACTCATGCTGACGATGGCACTCAAAAAGCGCCCCCGAAAGACATCCTTGCCGTCAGCCTATCGAAGATGATCGAAGTACCCACAGACACAGAGCAGTACCGCGGAGGCCGAAGACACGATCGTAGTAAGGCACGGGCGTTGCGTTGCACTGCGTCCAGGAACTGAGAACCTGAAGGACTCGGTTTGGCGAGGTCATGCTGAAAGCGGCTTGGGCAGTGGCTGCTAAACTCTAGGGTTGGGGGTTCGTGCATGTGCGCCTTCGTCGTGCATAGGGGTTGCACAGGTTAGCTCATCCGGAATGCCCATGCACAGCGAAACTCCACGTCCGATGCGACCCTCGCTGCCGAGACTACGCGTTCATGCGACTCTGCCGGGAGCACATCAACTCTTGCTCTCAACCCTTAAAGCCTAAGCCCTTAACCCGGGAGTTCACCGTATACCACAACCCCCGAAACCGCAAAATGAAGTCTACACCCTAAAGCCCCTGAAACCTTACACCCTGCCAGGTTTACATCCGCAACCCTCCTCAACCCTACCCGAAACTTCTCTTTGCAACTCACAGGCTCAAACCTCCCCTTCTTTAACGGGTTCATACCAACCCCAAACCACAAAGCCCCAAAAGACAAAAACTACTAAAGCCTCAACGACTAAGAAAACCCCAAACCCTAAACTGGCTCCCTGCTGGGGCCATATTAAAAATGATCATATTTCACCCTTATTGGGTTCTATTATGACAAAAATGTAAAATTGTGTCCAACGAGGACCCAGTAAACCCTAAACCCTAAACTCGGAGCAGGGCCCAGCTACCCTACTAAGAAAACCCTAAACCCTAAACCCTGAACACGAAAGAAAGCTCGGAGCAGGGCCCAGCTACAGTTCTGCGTCGCGAAGCAGAGGGACACGGTCTCGGGCATCGGCTTGGGACAGTCCTCGAAGCTCGGCTCTACAAGCTAGTCTACAGGGGTTTTGGGGCCCATTATACTCTAATTATAAAACGGAACCCCCAAAATGGTATAGGGGTTTAAGGCTTGGAGTTTGGGGTTTGGGGCTGTAGGGTTCTACAAGGGTCCGATGTAGGTTTAAAAAAGGTTCCATACGGATTCTATAAAGGTTGAAGGGTTTAGGGCTGTGGTTGTGTTTCTGTGAAATGCTTCTGCTAGAAGGCTTCAGGGATTCTCGGGCTTGGGGAATGCGAAGAGGGTGTTTAGGATTTAGGGGTAGACTTAAGATTCTGGTCAGTGTAGGGGTCAGGGTTGCTGTCTGGCGTGTGATGTGTTGGGGCTCGGGGTCGGAAGCGCCTTATCGCGGAAGTATCCCGAACCCAAAACTCTTTCGGCAGCTGCCAACCGCACTTCTGATCCCAAGGCCCTGAGCTCTGAAACCAAGTCGCAACCTCAGCCAGCTTTCAAGAAATGATCGTCCACGACGCACCGCGGAAGTCCACTCCAACTAAGCCTTGAAAACTAGCCACACACACACACAAGCACACACACACACACACACATGCTGCACTCCTCGATGTTGCCGCTTGGGCAAGAGACGGATCGCGTCCTGCTTCAGTGTCAGATGCGAGTATTCGACCCTCGCCTCTCCTTGCGACAGCAATGAAAAGTCCCAATGCTTGAACATGTAACTGATCATGATCGGGGTCCGTGTGCCCTCGCCACAACCGGTCGAACACTCCGACCTCATTGGCCAGGACATTCAGAAATCAACCTGCCTAATTACGAAAATTCTGCTCGTCGAAGCGTTTCTCTGTCTGGCCATCCGTGCCTTTAACCGCACACATGTCAGCGGATCTCTCGGCCCCCATAGAAAAGACGAGCGCACGGGCCAAGGAGCTTAAGATGGAAACAGAGATGGGAGAGGACTAGGGAGATGCAGAGTGCGAAATAGAAACGGATGCACCGAAACAAGCAAACTCTACCCTTCAGCCTGCTGCTTATCCTTCCAACTCCCCTTCTTCAAAGCTGTTTCGAGACTCTGGGACTCGAAGGTGCCAGAAGGCATGGGGCTGGGAGCTGCACCACTCGCCCAGCGTCCAGAGGCAGCCAAACACGGAGCATCCAAGACTGGCAGGAAGACTTTTCGGAGTTCTTAAGACTTTGGGGTTTAGGTTTTAGCGTGACAAAGCAAGACTCCAGCACACGGTAGCAGCCCCTACCAAAAAATGGAAATGCTCCACTTCGACTGCGACTGCATGCAGAGTCTGCATAGGCAATGATGCACTAACAAGCACAGATGCGCCAAAAACAGGCATGCCTCTTCTCTGCGGAAGCCACGACATCGTTTCCACCCTCGCGGAATGCTCTCTGGGCTGAAGTGGGCAGCGAGGAGCTGGGGTTTTTATGACTCAAGCTTACCGCCTGTGCAAGCAATGCCAGTGCCTTTTTGTCCGCTCCGCAGCTCCGGATGCATGTTCCAAGCGGCTGTGCCATCACCCCTCCCACTTCGGCGACAACGGCTCGTCGCATTTGCTCCCTCTGCGTCAGTCCGGGAGCCCAAACTCTGTTCGTGGCAGGCGCTTGCCCAGCCTGTCTCTCACAGAAACAGGAAACTGGGGCCAGAGCCGCCAGGGCGACGCCGCCTCTTCTGAAAGTTCTCGAGTGGGCGGAGAGGGTGAGGAAGCCTTCCTTGCCAGAGGCAGATAGTAGCTGTCGAACTGCCAGTAGCGCTCTGCAACCCCGTGCCATGTCTCGTCTCCCAGCCCACCCAACTCGATCTTGCAGATGTCGCACGGAAGACCCATGGAATGGAGATCTTCCTGCGCCAGCCGGCAGAAAGCAGCATGCTCAGCGATACTGTAGGGCGCCATTCCATTAAAGAACGAGAAGGCTCCTCCGGGAGCTAGCAATCGCGGCAGCTCCTCCTGAAATTGGCGAAGGTCCTCGTAGGTTTCTGACCAGGTGTCGAAGAAGATTGCGTCCAGAGAGCTGCTTTTGAGCTTTGGGATAATCTCTTGCCAGCGTCCTTCGTGTATGAACACTCCAGGCTGCTCATGCCAACCGCGGCGCTTCATCTCTGCGAGCACATCTTTATGAGCTTCGATGATGTGATGCTCGCTTGGCCCTCGCTTGGATAGGAAGCCGTCTACAAGTCCCAAGCCAAATCCGACGTTGGCCACGCGCAGCCCTGCCTTCGGTAAGAGGAGCTCGGCATGGCGTTTCATCAAGGGCTCCTCTGTCTGGTGCTTAGTAGGGAATGGGGGAATGGATCCCTATGATTAGTATTAGTCCCTTAAAGTACCTTATAGTGGTCCCTATAACCCATTTCCCCATTCCCTACTAAGCACCAGACAGTCCTCCCATCCCATCATTACAGCCTTCGAGTTGGCATCCAGAAGCCTCGTATCCTCGTACCGCAAGTCTTGCTTGAGGTAATGATCTGGGGCTTCGAGTGTCTGGCGCTTCAGAGGGGGCTCCTGCGGCTCCTGACAGGCAGTGATTGAGTGATTGGTAACAAGGCTGCTCCTTTGACCCCGGCGAACTGCTCTCTGGCCTTGAGGAGCAGACTTGTACCAGGAGAGGCTCTCCTGGTACAAGCCTGCCTCTCAAGGCCACTGCTAATAGACATGGGCATGTCCGCACTGCCTCGTGCTCGTGCCTGATGCAGGACACCCGGTGCATGACCAGAGCTTCGAAGACTGTCCTCGGCGAGGGCTTCGGAGTCTGATGCACGACAGGTCCAACACAGGACACGTCCCAAAGTCTGCAGTCGAGTCTCTGTCTGCCTGCATGGAACGCCACATCGCCAGCGGTTGCCTCATCTCCATTCCGGAGGTTTGCATCGGCACCACGCTCGATGAGCAGGTGAGCAGCTTCGACGGCACCAGCCGAAGCAACTCGGTGCAACAAGGTGTCGCCTGTGCTGTCCCGGCATACCAGGAGCTCAGGCCACGATTCCAATGAGTCCTCAAGCTGCTCTCTGTCATCTGCAATAGCCGCAGCCAAGGACTCAGCCCATCTCTGCTGGGATTCGACGGCTGACGGAAGTGGATGCTGCTTCAGATCCTCGATAAGGTTCCTAACACCTTCCAAAGCAGTGGTTCCTCCCAGGGCTCTCACAGGAGCACCGGAGGCAATGGCAGCAAATGCCAGCCCAGCCGCTGCGCCCAGCTTGCCCTGCGGATTGAAGGCATCCGGATCTTTGGGCGAGTCGCCTAGGATGAGGACCACCTGAACGTGTGTCACCCTAAGTGGTTCCACCCTTGAGCAGCCTTCCACAGCGGCTGCGACTGCGCAGCCCCGCCCCTCCATTGCTACCTTTAGCTGCAATGCGGCCTCGGACAGGGCCGCTGAAGCCAGGATCGCCAGCGCATCCACTCGACCGAGCAGAGCAAGCAGCTCTTGACGGCAGGACGCGCTCATTGCTTGCAATTTCTAGGTTTTGAACCAGTACAAACGCTTCAAAGCACGGTATTACCGGCCACATCGTCGAGAGCCGCCCTCTGCAATTGCGGAAAACCCAGACATTCCAATACCTTAATTATGAGCGATTAATGATTGCTTTCTGCAAGCAAAAGCCCATGCCTCGTGTGAATCCTGCGTTGCGGTGTACCGGAAAATTACAGACGAAGCAGCCCGAAAGCAGGAAGGCCTCTGACGTCGAGCTCGAAACCTGCTGCACTGCAGATTGAATGGCACTTACTCACACAGGCATCTCGCTAAGTAGCCATTGTATTAGGCCACAAAACTCTAGCCAAGCTGCAAAAATGCAAAGCTATGATATGCAGACATCCGCATGTATGTAACGTGTATTTATGTAAGTATGTCGGTATTGTATGTATGTATGTATGTATGTATGTATGTATGTATGTATGTATGTATGTATGTACCTATGTACTAATGTATGTACGTACGTGCATAAGTACATATGTACATATGTACGTATGTATGTATGTGTATACGTATGTACGTCGGTACGTATGCGTGTATAGTATACACGTCCATACACACACATGTACATACATACACATGCATGCACATACATATACGACATATTTAGTATACATGCACATACCTGCATATGCATGCATGCATGCGTACTTACGTATGTACTATAGACATACATACATACATACACACATGCATACATACACACATACATACCTACCTAGAGAGAGAGAGAGGGCACGATCCTTGCCTGGCTGTCGTTGGAGCCATTTCCGTAGGAGCTGTTTTCCCATTCGGCCATGTCGGTTTCGTTCATCTCTGAATCGTTCACATCGGTGTCGTTCTCATCCGTGTCCGTGTCGTTCATGTCTGCAGCATATCCGCCCACATCTGACTCGTTCATCGAAGTCTCGTTCATCTCTGGCTGGTGCATTTCAGACATGTTCGAATCAGTTGCATTCATCCCAGCCATGCTCATGTTCATCTCCGTCATGCTTGGCTCGGACATGTTTGGCGTGATTGGCTCAGACATGTTGGTCTCGGACATGTTCATTCCCATATCCATATGTCCCGTCATATTCATCATTGTCACATTCTCCATGCTGTAGTTGCTGTAGTTCGACTCCCACAATTCGTCTTCCTCCTGCAAGCATCCGATTCGTGCTTACATGCAGCACTGACTGCTGCGTGCGAAAGCAAAATGTTTGGTGGCAACAGCCTGTTTCGACCGGCTGCCAAAGACAGAAAGAAATCAGTGGCCATGGAAGCGGCAGTAGCTGAAACAAAAATGAGAATTCGACGTGCGTCCTCCTCCATCTCGCTCATGTTGCTGCGGTTCGACATGTTGGATACATCCTTCTCTGCCTGTGCAAGCACAAACGAATAGCCGCCTGGAAAACACTTCATAAACCAACCCAGGACCCTGGACACTTTTCCCGAACCTCAAAATCCGGAAGTCCACCTTACCCTAAAACCAAACCCTAAACCCTAAACCCTTAAAGCCCTTAAAACCCCAAACCCTAAACTCGAAACCCTTAAAGCCCTTCAACCCTAAACCCTAAACCCTTAAGACCCTTGAAACCCTAAACCCTAAGGGTTTGAAACCCTAAACCCTAAACCCTTCAGACGCTTGAACCCCGAAACCCTTGAAACCCGAAACCCCTAAGACCCTTGAAGCCCTTGAAACCCTAAACCCTAAACTAAACCCTTAAAGCCC